AATCCTATATATATATGTGTGTGTATGTGTGTGTGTGTGTGTTTTGTGTATGCCTCTTCAGTAATGAACACTATCAGCAGTTATACAAATGATGAGATTTTAACTTTTAGTAGTAATATGGCAAACATTATTCAAAGTGCTTTGATTCTCACATCAAATGTCAAACACAGGTGATATTATTATCCCATTTTACAAGTAGAAAAGGCCCAAATAAGTAGTTTGGGTAAGATTACTTAGGAAATGATGGAGAACACATTCTATCTTAATCAATCTGACTCCAAGTCAAAAGCCTCCCCAAACAAGTTACAACTGAGTAACAAATAATCAGCCATCATTATTAGGAAATGGTAAGCATTAAGTACAGATGAGTAACATACAGAGGGATTAAATAAAAAATCAGAAGTTTTCTGTAAAAATTATAGGCAAAATCACATCATAAAGAGATCTGAAGTAAGCTTAAAGGATGTAATAAATGTGTACCTGAAGAACTGAGCAGAAAGAAGTTCAGGTATAGGAGTAAGGTGTTGAGCAAGAAAGCAAAAGCGGGTAAATAAATTTCCTTGGAGCACAAAAATTGTAGGAGAAATAGTTTCTTCACACAACCAGAAGTTATTAATTGGCAAAAGGAATGCCTGTTCTAGAAGACTCCTTCCTGATGGACCATGCACCTGTCCTTGCTTCCCATTTCCTTTGGAAAACCGACACAATCTGCACACTCCTCTCAATGCTCTTTGAGAGACCTATCTATACTAGCCTGCAATCACTCTCGTCACATTCAAACTCCGCTCCTATCAGACTCATAATGCTTCACCAAAACTTCCCTGATCACAGTCACACATCCTCTACCTTACTAAATTTGATGCACTTTGTTTTTCAATCATTATTTAAATTTATGAACAAAATTTAACACATTATTCACTACTTTTTCTCCATTTGGCAAACAGAATTTCTCTTAAGGTTTTTCATCCAAATCCCTGGGTTACTTGATCTTGGAGTGCCCCAGGACGCAGTCTTAGAAGCCCTTCATCTTGTCTTTTTTTCTAATACTCACTCATTAGTGGTCATCCAATTTCCAGCTTTAAGTAACTCTTCCAATCATCTATACACGGACTATACCTTTCCACTGAACACCAGATTCATAAAAGCCAACTACCCACTTACATCAATAGATCAAAACTAAACATGTCCCTATACTCAAACTTGACAACCCTGTAGTCTCTCTCTCATTTGACAGTCATCCCACCTTCCTGTTATCCAGACAAAAGCCTTACCAGTTTCCCAGATGAATCTTTTCTGTCATATTGAACATGAAATACACCAGAAATCATGATGACCCTATATCATCAAGACATATCAAGCATTTAATTACAACTCCAACCTCCACTACTGAGTCCATTGTCCTGTCTAACCCGAATTCCTAACTGTTCTAACTAGGCTTCTATTCTTGTCTACTGACAAATGTACATTCTCAATACAGCTCTCCATTCTGATCCTGCACAACACAGTCTTATCATGTCATTCTTATTTTTAAACTCTCCACAGATTCTCCATTGCACTCAAGTACAAGTTAAAGGATGACATGATTTGACCACATTTCCCCTCTCACCATATCTTGTCCTCTGCACGTTGCACACTGGGCTTTCTTTGAACACTCCAAACATTGCAGTTCAGTACTGGCTGTTCTTCTGCCTGGAAACATACACCAGATATCTGCATGGCTTTCTCTGGATTTCCATCAAATCTTTGTTCAAATGTCATCATCTCATTAAGCTCAGCAAAAAGCATTTCATTTCAAATTGAATTCCCTTCCTGATATTCCCTATTCTCCCCTTCATCCTTTATTTTCTCCATGAGAACACCTATCTACTGACCACTCACCCACCTACCGACCTACTATCCATCCTGTTTATAGTTGATTATATTCACTAAAAATTCAGTTCATGGGAACTTGAAAATTTTTCTCTTTTGTTTACATCAGGAAGAGTCCGTACACATAGCAAACACTAATAGTTCTTAATAATTAAATGTATCTTTCTGATGTTAAGAAGAAAAGCAGAGTTACTATGAGCAAAAAGACTTTCATTGTGACAAGTAATGATTTAAATCTAAATTGTTTTACTCTGTAAACTTTGGCTAGCAGCTATTTTTCACTAATACTACACAAATACCGAGACAACTACAAACACACACAAAAAAAACACCATGGTCATAGAGTTGACCCTTACAGGAGACACAGGCATATCAATGAACAACTGACATAATAAAGCACGTACAGTACCTAGAGCGACACAGATAACAAGAGATGTTTGAGAGGCATAAGAGAGGAAGTAATATTTTTAGCTAAAACCTAAAAAAGTAGGGTTTTAGTAGACATAAGTATTTCAAGTCAAGAAAACTATACATATAGGAAATAATTCAAGAAATTAAAATCCAGCACAAGGTAGAGAAATGTAGTTGTGACAGGACAAAAAACTAGTTGTGGCAAATCCAAACAGGGAAGAGAAATCTAGTTCTGGTAGGAAAAAAACCTAAATAAGATGGGACTTTACCTAACAGTCAAAGAATATGGTAAGACATTGAAAATATTAAGCAGTTTCAAGTAGATCATATCTATGATTAACTCAAAAAATATCTGTGATACCGTAAAAAAAAAAAGTTTAGAAGATAATTAAAAGGTGAGGTAGAAATTAAAACCCAGGATTCTGAATTATGTCGTGTTACTTAATACTTGGACTGACTACCTGAAATAAAGTAAAAAAAAAAAAACTACTAAGAATTTAGCCAATTCTATTAATATGTATTGACCATTATATTTAAAAATTAATTTGTCACATTATGATATAGGTAATAATAAAAAAATTAAAATCAGTAATTATATTTAACCTCAAAGTAGTGACACAAGAAACAAAATTTCAAATACATTCCAGTAATTCAACCACTTCATATATAAAAACATCACATGGAATATATATGTGATGTATTTATATACATATTCCACATTTTTATTGGTGACAATATCACAAGGATTTCCAATATTTCTACCATGTGTTGTCTATATTCAAATGAAAGGAAATGCTTTAAATTTAGTGTGTGGTAATAAATAAAGATGTAAACTTTGCTCATCCATGTTCATGGATCTTTAAAGAACTCATAGTAAAGATGAAAGTCAGGCAACAAAATCAGAAATGAAAGCAATATTTAGAGAGAATATATTTTAAATAAACAAACATCCTCTGATAAGTGAAGAAAAAAAACAAAAAACAGGCAAATAGATAAAATAATCCTAACTTAAACTGGATTGACTCCAGAGAGTAAAAAGGAAATATCCCTATATCAACTGTTATTTAACAGTTTCCTTTACTTTGCTAAAAAGAGCACAGACAAACAACAGTAATACCGCCAAAGTATGATTCATTTTCAAGATGAATCCCACCCTGTCCAAAGGTTTACATTGTTTTTGACCAGCCTCAGAATGTTTATCCACAAACTGTAAATACATCATTTTTAGAACTAACCAACAACAATGCCCATTTTGTTTCAACATGTAAGATACAAAAAGCACTTGAAGAAAAATGGTATTGCTCTAAGATCTGTGCTTAAAAATGAAAAAAACTACAGAATAATGGGCTGAAATTCCAACATAATAAAATTTTAACACAGTTATCAGCAGGAAAGTGCCTACTATATTCATTCTCTGATATCACTCCAAATAGCTTTATGTGAAAATATGAAGAGCCAAAAGAGGAATATACTTGAGAGAAAATAGTACACTCGAACTCAGAAATAAAAGTATTGTTTTCTAACGATCTGTCTTTTACAAAGAGCAAATCCACGACTGATTAGCACATTTCACCTTTCACCAAGCACATATCAGAAGGAATTTGTTCAGTCATTTAATATCTGTCTTTCCATTGATTAGAAGGTATACAAGGACAAAGATGACTTTGATTTTTTGTGTGTGAATATTATTATCAAAGCATAATACAAACCTTTGTGTGTGGCATGCATCACAAGAAAGGACTCCAAAGAGTCCTTTCTACTAATGTATCTTTGGTTCTCTCTTTTGCCCAGCTACCCATACCCACACAGTGGATCTCTTTGGTAAAAAATACTCAATAGAAAGACAAAAATCCTGAAATAACCTATACTATTACCTAATCATGCAGCCTAATTTATGGCCTAAACTATAAGTAATTGTTTCCAAAGTAAATTTTTTTGAAACTATCTAAAAATATCAATATTGTATAGCTTCCAAATTGTTAAAATCTAAAAATTTTTAAATTCACAAGACAAATTATAAAAGATTTCAACTTTAAAGATCAGGAATCAGAAGTTAAACATACTGTTCTTATACATAGTATTATATACTAATAAAGTGTGCTAAGAAATAGAAATCTTGAATTTTTTTACAGAATTCTCTCTAGGATTTCAATTATCTACATATTTTTTCAGCCCAGATAAAACCTACCTGCAGAAAATATATCTGTAATTGATTTAATATTACAGAAGAATGTTGCTGAATCAAAGGTAAAGCAAAGTAAGGACAGTTACATAGTCAAAAGAACTGCAAAGAGATACACAAATTATTATACAAAGATCCTAGGGGTTAAGTCACAGTACTATCAGCTCCACACCTCACCCAGCAACCTCATGACAATTCCTTTCATGATAAACTATAAAAATGAGCTTGGTTAAAGATGAACTTCAGAAAAAGATTTGAGGACTTGAGATTCAATTGCTAAATTTATGAAACTTCATCTCCCAAACATGAAACCCCAAGCACATTGAAAGAGGTAGGGAGAAAGGCAAAGATCACCATTACTATGCTGGCTTCAATTTCTTATATTTCTTAATGATTTCAAAAATTACAAAAACCTAAAATATTATTTTTACATAAACAGACTGGAAAAATTGCCTAATATTATCCCAGATTTCAAAAATTAAGGATAAAAGGATGAAGGATTGCAGGGGTCAGTGAAGAGGAAGAAAATGAGGTTTACCATGAAGAGGTGATCCAGAAGGACTACTTGATAGACCTGGAACAGGACTACAGCGACCTCCTTGCTTAGATGTCAGTTCTTGTTCAATCTCTTCCAGTCCAGCACTTTTCTGGAACCGGCTCATACGATTGACTACTCGTGGTGACATGTGTGTTCGGACACAGGGTTGGCCACCATAAGGGTTGATGGGGAAAACGTGGGAAGTACCCCGGAGTGTACTGACCACCACCCAGCGACAGTCGTGGCTGAAGCAGATGTCTTGTACCTGGTAAAAAGACAGGGAAAAACAGGAATGGTTGAAACCACTTGAATTTACTGAAGAGCATCATGGACAGTCCATGCAATATGAAAACAAGTAGCTGTTTACCTATCAAATTAATCTAAGATTGGGTTATAAGTAAAATGTTTTGTTCTACAAATGAGTTTCAAAGTGACTGGTATCAAAACTGCTCATCAGGGTTGCTGCATAGAATGCCAAATCATAAAAGACCTAGCCCCTTCAAACTAGAAGGTGGTAGCAAAACATAAGCCCTGCTTATCTTTCTAAATGAATTTGGCTTCTAGAAATAAATCCTAAAAAAAAAAAATGAAATTTGCTTCTAATAAACAAGGCATAGTGAAAATAAAAGTTATTCCCTCATACTCTCACCAGACACTATCCTGAGCACTAAGAAACAATGGGTAAATAAAAATATTGTGGAAAAACTTGTGAAAATATATAAAAAGTAAAATAATGGTTTCAGATATATTGGATTATGGTTGAGAGAGGTGAAAATAGAATGCTGAAGGTGGGAGTTAGGAACAGACTGAAAAACATCAGAATAGGCATGGGTTCTCTCCTTCGAGTTTTGAAGTAGGATACACTGAGACATTGCAATTTAGTTCTTCCATTTGAGATATAAAAGTATGGCTCTAAGACAGAAATAAAGTAGTTTACAAAATACTTGCATTTTATTTAAAATATAGTATAGTCATGATTTCAATTTTGTAAGAATGAAATGTAGAACAGTGGATTTCCTCTAGGAATATGGATTGCTATAGGAAGATTAGGTAAAAATACCATCAGGAGTCACAGCTATCAGTCCCTGAAGAGTGTTGGGATGCAGAAGTCAAAAGATCTCAAAATAAAACAAAACCAAATACTTTTTATCTACAGTGGCTGAACCATACAGACTCTGCCATCCAGTGTCAAAAACCAAAATAGAAAATATGTGCAGCAATTTCAAGGAAAAAGCAATATTTACTAAATCAAACATCTGGTAACATAGCTGATTGAGGGAAAATTAGTAATTTATATGACATTTAACAATCAATGAATTCAGACGTTCTAGGATTTTCAAATTAGTAAATTGAATTTACTACCCTTATCCTGGTATCTGTCTAATGAAAAAAAAAGTGTGCCCACTACTATGTTTATTTAAAGAAAGGCATGTAAAATAAAATATTACTCTACCATTTTAAAACATAGACTCTAAAAGGAATATGAGCTAATAATGTTTATGAAAGATTTTGTCCATTGACTAATTGACCAATTTTTTTCCCAATACATAAAACAAGCAGCAAAGAATACTTCCAAAAAGGTAAAAAAGAATACAGACCAGGCAAAAGCACAGCAGAATAAAAATATATGTTCATGAATGGCAATAAATATGAAAAACATGTGTTTTATACATACAAGTATGAATAAGGCACTATATTAGTACATCATTATTATATTATTACATCATAAACTAAACTTCTCAAGAAGTTTACTGTCCACCTTTCCAACACATTAGATAATAAATCAGCCTAAGCTCATAAAGTCTTGACAAATATTTCAGAATTATTCTATAAGTAAGTATTCATTAATGTGCTAGTCTCTCAAAGATCCTAGAACCTTGCATATGAAAAAGAAACAGTAATCTCATATATCAAGATAGTTCATTGCTAAATAAGATCTATCAACACATGGATATACCCAAAATTCTATTTGTTACACATTTCAATAACTGTGACATATCCATATGATGTGTTAATGTTATAAAGAAGTTCCTGAAGCTGACAATTTTAATACCCAGAGTCTACAATTATGAATCATCCTCCAGGTGTTTAACGCTTAACCTGTCTAATTTTCCTACAATAATTTCCATCAATTAACTTACAGAAAAGAAAAGATAAACAAAAGTAAAAATAATATAGTGTGAAACAAATTGAACATCAAAATATCAAATACACTAGCACACAAGAGAACCAAAGATATGAAAAGAAAGTCTCTAGGGTGAAAGAGCAATTTATGTTCATTTTCAGAAGCACTTATAATCAAGGCCACATCCTGGTCTTGTCAATGAAAAGGAGTCTCCTACTTACATTTGGAGACAACTTCTGATAGAAGGTGGTGCTAACAGTCAGTATCAAGTCAAGAAGACAGAATTCCACCTAAATACTCACTTAGAAAACTGCTAATAGAGAAGAGATTCTGCTATATGACCTTGAAGACACATCAGTATACTAATTGAGCACAGAGGATTGCTAAAGATATAAGCTATCAAGAGGCCACAGAAATTGTAATCCTTTAAAGAACATTACAGAGGATAACAAGTCGCCTAATCAAAAAATGTCAAATGATATAACTGTCCAACTGTTCTTGCTCTCAAACTAGGCGGGTGTTGTTTCTACACAAAATGGAAACTAGTAATAAAATGATATCATCTTCATGACTTACAAGCCTCAATGTTAGAAAATTTCTTGTTACCATTTTCTTGGAACAGAAGAGAAGTGCTAAATGTATCCTGCTTCAGATTTAGCTCTATAATACTAGATATCACAGCAAATAACATTTTCCAAGTACAATTCCAGCAACTATTATAAATGTAAGCTAAACAAACATCCTTCTGATCATCTCAACTTTATGAACATTTTTAGATTATTATTTCTGTAATTCACTGACTATTCACAAACTTGAAATCAGAAGTGATCTCGACCAAGCACATGTGAGCAGCAAAGAAAATAATCTCTAGTTTCATGCGTTTCAAAATGCTGTAAATCAGGTGAGAAATCAATGTCTACTTAGACAACTGCAAATTGTCTACTTAGACAACTGCAGGTTTCTTTTAAAATAGGGTTTAGCAAACTTTTTATATAAAGGGTCAAATAGTTAAATATCAGAATTTACATGCAAGGAACAAGATCAAGAGTACTATGCAGATTCTTAAGACAAAATATTTATTGAATATTTTTTTTATTTTGTGATGTATATCTTCTAATAAGACTGTAATTCTTTTCTTTTAACAGAAGATATATTTATTTCATAGAGTTCTGTGCTACTATTATCATCATCATATATATTCCAATGCTCACCTATAAAAACTATTCTTAGCTCAAGGGCTATATAAAACCAAACACTTCACACACAGTTGTCAATGCAGACAATCATACTCCTCTATGAAAGCTGAAAGGACCAGAAATCTAAAATTAAAGTCAAAATCAGGATAAGACCCTCAGGACAACAAGAGTAATTCCTATTTCAAAGGATTGGAGGGGAGGAAATGGAGAAAGGCAGCTACTAGTTATCTGCTTTGCTTTGGGATGATGAAATTTTTCTGGAATAATGTAATCATGTTTGATGTACAATCTGAGTATGGTAAAAACTACGAAGTAATAAAGATACTTTATGAAAATGAACTTTATATATATGAATTATGTCTCAATAAGCTGTTAATGAAAAAAACTGAAAGAACTAACTAGTTAGCTAATGAGGAAGTTCTCAAGTCTCTTTTTATTTAACTGCCCCTTACTTCTAACTGATGTTTGTTCTTTCCAAAGCTTAAAGCAGATAAGCAACTGCTAGAAAGCCAAAGCTAGCACTTTATCTGTGCTCATCTTGGCTCTCTTTACATCTAGCTGTGGGTTAAACAAGGGACTTCAACGTAATACGGGTAAAAGGTATAATCTGATGTTCTTATTAAGTTTTATACATTTAACATAAAGATGTGGAATTAAAAGATGGGGGTGGGAGACCCCCATGTTTATTGCTGCTTTATTTACAATTGGAAAAACATGGAAGCAGCCAAATGCCCAAAAGTAGATGACTGGATTAAAAAGATGTGGTACATATATACAATGGAATATTACTCAGCAACCAAAAAAAGAGAAACGCATGTCTTTTGCAGCAACTTGGATGGAGCTGGAAAAGATCATGCTTAGTGAGATAAGCCAGAAAGAGAAAGAAAAATACCG